TCAGGCTCATGTAGTAGTTAGAGACTTGGAGTATCATAATTTGTTACATTATATCGACAATGCGAAAGTGAAGTTTCATTTCCCGGGATCAGTGGGTTACAAAACACGATAGTTTTGCTTGAATATGCAATGCCCTGCCATTTGTTGTAACATTTGCTATTTTATTTCCGAATTGTTCAACTCCGCAAAAGAAGAATGAAATGTTGTTGGAGTTGGATCCTTGTATCGGGTGATTTTTTTATTTGTCGCAATTGCAGGAGATGGTGTGAAGAATCATGTATTTCCTGTATATTTTAAAGAAAATTCATAATTCAGAAACTTTGACATGCGTTCATCAGCTATGTAGATGTCAGTAGGAACAATCTCACTTATTAGGGGTATGCTCTTTTACATTTCTTTTTTTGTTTGAGTAAATTGATACTAAGGGGAAGGAAGTTCGGCTAAGCTACACAACGAACAACTTAATTTGGTATCGAATTTGCCATTCACGAAATTCGAATCTAAGACCTCTCACTTTCTAGTGGAGAGGAATAGCACCAAACCGTAGTACTGAGTGGTTAAGCCACACAATGCTCTTTTCCTTTTTATGTTTATATCTTTTTATTTTGGTACTTAATGGATTGAAGCTGAATGCTAGGTTAGATAGTTCAGGGCTGGAATCTTCATTTCAATTCAATACAAGTTTCTGTTTTTTTTTTTTTAAATATATATTTTTTTGGCCTTTTTGATGCAAAACCATGTTAGAGAAAGGAAGAAAAAGAAGGGGTATGTGGTTATTTTGGACTGCTAGAGTGACTTGTCCTGTTTCTTTAACAAGTCGCATCAGACAGGACACACACAGTTGCGGTGCGTGGGTCACCAGACACTCACAACTCTCGCATGGGATGGATGGATGGGGCTGGCAGCCGCAGCCGATAGTTGCAATTTCAGGCCTAAAAAAATAAGGCAATGAATTATGCAGCATGTTGTGGCTACATCCTCTCTTATTACGGGACTAGCTACAATCAGCACCAGGTGCCGAACTCATCACAAATCTCTCTCTCGCGTTTATAACTTAATCATGAGACATCCTCTTACCAAGCAGAGAACTCACATTACACCACGAGAAAGCAAGGGCTGTTAGGAGTTGGGACTTAGCATGTTAGAGACGATGATTGGTATATAAATACAATGAGGGACATAGCATATTAGAGACAATGATTGGTATAGAAATACAAGGACCTAAATTTCTCAGATATAATAGTACATATTATTGAATCCCCAGTTGAACTAAGATTCTCAGACATCTACGGAAATTACTGGCTCTGTCTATCAGTAAATTATATGCACAGCCATCTTGTTTGCTAATTTACATGCTCTGTGCAACTCAACTAGTGCGGTGCTAACGATTTCAGCTTCTCCGGTGGTTTTACCATATGGAAATCCACCCAATAACAGTATGTAATCCTTTTTCCCTTCTCCAGGTGATGAATCTACTCCTAATTCGGCGGATGCATTTACACCGGTCCCAAGCGCAGGCCAGTTTGTTGGCAAACATTGAAGAACTGACGTGCAAGTCCATAATTTTTGTTCAGTATTCTTGAGAATGTTCATGTTGTATCAATATTTCTTTTGGATAACACGTTGATACGTTTTATTAAACCGATGTTATACGAGACCAGATTTTCTTCACAACAACAGGGGGTAGTGCCGACTTGTATAATTGTAATTCTCACAACATTTGCAAATTCCTTGACTAGTGTTTGACTTTGCAAGGGCGGGCAAGAAAAGCTTTATTTCATGCAGACAGTTCCAAAAAGATCCCACATTTGCAACCAGTTTGTTCGCTCAGCGGGAATCCAAAGCCACGAAAATCCCCCGGGAACGAAAGAATGATGAATGAATGAAGATTTCAAAATCGAGTTTTTGTCTCATCCGCAGACACCAACATTCGGTCTCAGTTAACAACCTCAACCTCACAACCTGGTTCAACAAATACGTCGACAAAGACGATGTCGCTTCCTGGAACTCCGTCATTGCCGACTTGGCCCGGAGCGGCGACTCCCTCGAAGCCCTCCGGGCATTTTCGTCCATGCGAAAGCTTTCCCTCAGACCAAACCGCTCCTCCTTCCCCTGCGCCATCAAATCCTGCTCGGCTTTGCTGGACCTTCACTCCGGCAAGCAAGCTCACCAGCAGGCGTTGGTCTTCGGCTTTGAGTCCGATCTCTTTGTCTCCTCTGCCCTCATCGATATGTACTCCAGATGCGGTCGATTGACGGATGCATGGAAACTGTTCGATACAATTCCTCACAGGAACGTGGTTACTTGGACGTCAATGATCACCGGGTGCGTCCAGAACGACGACGCCTGCCAAGCCTTGTCTCTCTTTAAAGAGTTGTTGATTGAGGAAATTGACAATGAGGATGTTTCTTTAGATCCTGTTGTTCTGGTTTCTGTTCTGTCGGCTTGTTCTCGCGTGTCAAGTAAGGGACTTGCTCAAACTGTTCATGGGTTGGTGGTGAAGAGAGGCTTTGATGGGGATTTATGGGTTGGGAATACTTTGATGGATGCATATGCCAAATGCGGCGAGCTTGACCTTGTTAGAAAGGTGTTTGATGGAATGTCTCAAAAGGATTTGGTTTCTTGGAACTCCATGATTGCAACTTATGCACAGAGTGGATTATCTTCTGAGGCATGGCAAGTCTTCTATGGAATGGCAAGGGATGGTGACGTCCACTACAATGCCGTGACGTTGTCCTCTTTGTTATTAGCTTGTGCACATGCTGGGCCTCTGCTAGTTGGGAAGTCTATACATGATCAGGTATTCGAGTTTCTTGCAAGCCCTTAATTTCGCATCCTGTGGAATAGGTTATTACTGCAGGCTCTCTCAACTAATGCAATCTTTGGTCTTTTTATTTGTAGGTTCTGAAAAAGGGCTTGGAAGAGAATGTGATAGTGTCTACCTCTATTATCGACATGTACTGCAAACGTGGGAGAGTTGACTTGGCAAGGAAGGCATTTGATTGCATGAAGGAGAAGAATGTCAGGACATGGACTGCCATGGTTGCAGGTTATGGAATGCATGGCCGTGCCAAAGAAGCGTTGGAGGTCTTCTATACGATGATAAGAGATGGTGTGACACCAAATTACATAACATTTGTGTCACTTCTAAATGCTTGCAGCCATGCTGGTCTATTAGAACAAGGTTGGTATTGGTTTAATGGCATGAGCCGTGAATTCAATGTAGAACCTGGAATTGAGCACTATGGGTGCATGGTTGATCTTCTTGGACGTTCTGGTGATCTTAACAAGGCTTATGATCTAATAAAGGGAATGAGGATCATGCCAGATTGTGTTGTCTGGGGTTCATTTCTTGGGGCTTGCAGGGTACACAAAAATGTGAGATTTGCAGAGATTTCTGCAAGAAAACTGTTTGAGCTTGACCCTCATAATTGTGGGTACTACATCTTGCTTTCAAATATATATGCCAATGCTGGGAGATGGGAAGATGTTGAGAGGATGAGAGTACTCATGAAGAATCGTGGGTTGGTAAAACCTCCTGGATTCAGTTTGGTTGAACTGAGAGGTATTGTGCATTTATTTTTAGTTGGAGACAGAGAGCATCCTCAGCATGAGAAGATTTATGAGTACTTGGAAAAACTGACAATCAAGCTGCAAGAGGTTGGCTATGCACCCAATATCAGTTCAGTTCTTCATGACGTTGATGAGGAAGAGAAGGAAATGGTCCTAAGAGTACATAGTGAGAAGCTGGCCGTTGCCTTTGGAATCATGAATTCTGTACCTGGTGCAATGATTCAGATAATCAAGAATCTCCGAGTTTGTGCCAATTGTCATACTGTTATTAAGTTGATTACGAAGGTTGTTGATCGGGAAATTGTAGTCAGAGATTCAAAGCGGTTTCATCACTTCAGGAATGGGTTGTGTTCTTGTGGAGATTATTGGTGATGGCTCTGTAAGACGATGGCGGTTGCTAGGCAAATTTGGCTCGATAAATAGCCTCATTGATAAGGTGTAGAATAGATAGCACGCAATGGCTCTACAGGAATGCTGTGACTACCATTCATATAATCAGTTTTGGTGAAACTGAATGCCACTTCTGATAAGATTGTTTCTGATTAACAGAAGATTGAGTAAATTATAGATCAGCCTTAATTCATAATCTAATTATCAAAAACACATCATATAATTTATAAAATGTGGTTTAAAAAGTCAGTCTACCATGCATTCTTCTATAAATAATGGAAGGTTTGATATTTACCGGGAGCAAGTAAGGGTTTTCTTTCCTAAATCAAAAGGGTATGATCCCTTGACTAGTCTAATGTAGGCTCAACCGAAGTAACGTTTGCAAATTGCCAATTTGTCAATTTGGAAATACCATAACAATTGATTTTCCCGAGATATGCCCACGAATATGCCAATCCAGCTACCATTGAGTTGGTAGCATTCATGCCTTTCTATGAGGGAACAAATGCCAGCTTCAAAATAAATTTAGTGACCATCACAATGTTTTCTTAATTTCGATGTTACACTTATTCTGATTTTTAACGTTTTTATTTTTTTTTACTTGTATATATAAAATTAAAAAGTATTTTGTTTAAAAATTATGATTTACGAGATCAAAGGCGCACAAAATGAAATTATATTAATTATCAGAATAGTTGATTTCGCCCCTCGTGCTCCAGTCGACTGATCCAGGCTTTTCCGATTCATAACATCATATAAGGGCAGCTCGTCCTCCATTGAATTGGATCGATTCAAATCCTTCCTTTGATATTTGACCAAACGAACCTAATTTGGTGTTGATCAAATAAAAAGGAAGAGAAAATAAAAACCTAGTTTGATGGGCCGCCGGCCCCAATGCACTTTTTTTGGGAGTGAGCAAGCGAAAGGTCAGGCAGGCTAAGTGGCAGAATAGTAAATAAATGCAATCAACAGGGTTATGTCGTAGAAATGACGCGAGGGTTGAGCTAACTTTGGAGCAAGAGGCGCATAGCAAAAACCGGAATCAATAAGGACAAGAGGAGAGGAGAGGAGAGCCCCATTTCTAACAAAGCATCTGGCAGCGAGAGTTTGGGAGAGAATACCTCTCTTCTTCCATTTCCCTCACTCTCTCTCCTTCTTCATCTCCCAAATCTCAAAGCAATCAATCACACACTCTCTGCCATGGCTCTCTCAGACAAGCAGTCGCGTCAGGCTCTGATCCCGAGCTTCCTCTACAGCTCCTCATGCTCCATCGCGCTGGAGAAGATGCTCTATGCCAGGCCTAACGGCGGCTTCACGCCGAATGCCACCGTCGAAGGAGTCTCCGCCAGGAAGGGCCTCGTCATTCCGTCGCCCAGCGAGCCCTTGGGGAAGATCGAGATGTACTCGCCTTCCTTCTACGCTGCCTGTACGTTTGGAGGAATTCTCAGCTGTGGTCTCACTCACATGGCCGTCACTCCCCTTGACCTCGTAAAGTGCAATATGCAGGTCAGATCCCGAGCTTTTTCCTCTCCCAGCTCTTATCCCTGATTTTATTTCGGTTATGTATGCTTATCATACAATGCTTCTTTTATCTGATTGGATCTGTGCTATTTTTTCCTTGGATTTTGCTCGTAACATTTCATTTGTGTATGTACCTGTGTATGTTCATCCAGAAATGTTGTCCAGGTTTTTGGACTGCTTAGGTATCGATTTATTATCCATGGCTCACATTTGGCTGTTAATATTGTATATTTTGTTTCTTAATTCCACTGCATCATGATCTAAACTGGATCTGTATCGATTGATTGCTTTCAATCTGACATTTGTATTAATTCGTTCATTTAGTTATTTTGCTTGTAAGGTCTTTAATGTAAGTTGTTTAGTTGGTTCATATCAGAGACATTTGTGACTTGCACATAGTTCTTACTTCATTTAACGGCGGAGGTAGATAATTTGATTGACGATGTGGCTATTATTTATTGATTTTTCAGATTGATCCGGCAAAGTACAAAAGCATCACATCTGGTTTTGGAATTCTGCTCAAGGAGCAGGGAGTTAAGGGCTTTTTCAGGGGATGGGTGCCTACCCTCCTTGGTTACAGTGCTCAGGGTGCCTGCAAGTTTGGATTCTATGAGTTTTTCAAGAAGTACTACTCTGACCTTGCTGGACCAGAGTTTGCTGCCAAGTACAAGACCTTGATCTACCTTGCTGGTTCTGCATCTGCTGAGGTCATTGCCGATGTTGCTCTTTGCCCCTTTGAGGCAGTCAAGGTCCGTGTGCAAACTCAGCCTGGATTTGCTAGAGGCTTGTCAGATGGACTTCCGAAGTTTGTCAGATCTGAAGGTGCTCTTGGGTAAGTTGTACTGCATCATCATTGTATATGTATTATCACACATAGATGCATGATTTGTTGCTTTAGGTTTCAAACAAAATTCTGTCGTTAAGATTACCATGTCTCAATTACAGGTTGTACAAGGGTCTTGTTCCACTATGGGGACGTCAAATTCCATGTAAGTCGGAAAGATTTGAATACATGACTGTTTTTATCTTGATACTCATGTGAACTGCAGCTTTGACATTTCTGTATATGATTTGAAAGGAATATTCTGTTGTACTGTGATTCACCATGCATGGAACCCCTTTTAAACATGAACGTGATTGTTTTTGAGATGCAATTGATAACCATAAACTTGAAAACTTTAGCTTTGAACTTTTGAGTACCACTTCTATGTCATGTTTAGTCTGAAGTTTGTATGTTGTTCCATCTCTTCTTCTTCTTCCATGCTTCCGTGAGTTACTTGGATTGTTTGCACAATAAGCAATTGTGGTCATGCTACTGTTGCATTTTTCTAGATTTAGACTGATAGCAAGAATTTTTTGTTGCTGCATTTTCATTAAGCTGTTTCTGAAACTTGGTGCTGAAATTATATACTTGGAGTTATGATCTGTAAGCGGTATTTCTCATTACGGTATGCTTTACTTGAGAAGTTGAGAACAAAATTGCAATTACTTATCTACTTGTTCTTTCTTGCAGACACCATGATGAAGTTTGCCTCATTTGAAACAATTGTGGAGATGATCTATAAATATGCCATCCCTAGACCTAAGAGCGAGTGCTCCAAATCTTTGCAGCTTGGTGTGAGTTTTGCTGGTGGATACGTGGCCGGTGTATTCTGTGCTATTGTATCTCATCCTGCTGACAATCTTGTCTCTTTCCTCAACAATGCCAAGGGAGCAACAGTTGGTGATGTGAGTTCTATGGTTTCTGGATAATGTTTGTTGTACTACATCTTCATCCTTGCTCTGTTTTGACTGTTTTGATTTCTGGCTGTGCAGGCTGTGAAGAAGATTGGAGTGGTTGGTCTTTTTACCCGTGGGCTTCCTCTTCGTATTGTCATGATTGGAACTCTTACTGGAGCTCAGTGGGGTATCTATGATGCATTCAAAGTTTTTGTCGGGCTGTAAGTCAATCCTTCATGCTACTATTTGTTTTGTTATTAGTTAATTTAAATGAATGGTTGGGTGATTTTTGTGAAATTGGTATATTTCAGGCCAACAACTGGTGGTGCTCCCCCTCCAGTTGCTGCTGCTTCTGAGCTTGCTAAGGTGTAAACTGCTGGGTGAGCAACCGCATCAACTTCGATGTTTTTGGAACTGAAAATTTGTCATACGAAATAAGCTTAGGATTGCTGAAGTTGTTTAAATGGCTTCAAAGGGGAGTATTGTTTCTTTTACATTTGGAAACCAGATCCATTTTTCCCCATATTTGACTAGTCTGGTTTTGTGGGGATGGTTTTGCCCTCATCCTCATTTAAAAGACGTATTTGTAGTTAGATGAGATATGAATTTGAAATTTGATTGTTAAGGAGTAGGCAATAAAAAATAATGTTAGATGGGGTATTTGCGTTGCCATCCCAAAAGGCATGGGAATTATGACGGACGATTTATATTTGTTGAGAAGAAATTTTTTCAGGTACCGGTCACGTATGGTGAGCTGGAATTCTCCATTAATAACTGTTTGACACCTGTCTTACCACTCAGTTAGCTGTGATTAATGAATTTCATTGAAATACCTATTTTATCCTTGTATATTCATTTGCAGAAAATAATAAAAATAACAAAAAAAATAAAAAAAAGAAGGTAAAACAGCATCCCCACTGTCATGGCCCATCCCCGCATCCCCCATCGATTCTGCCATTCCGCCTCACCTCTCTCCCTCTCTACTTCTGTTTTTTTGTTCCCTTTTTATTTCTTCTCTTTCTTGCGCCGGCTCAGCAGCTAATAGATCGGGATTGGCGATAGCGGATATGAGTTGGACTCTCATCGACAATCCCTGGGTTCCATGTAGTAGAAGCAAGAGTGGGAGAGAGAGACGAAATAAAAGAAAGAGAAAGTACACAGAGCAGGCATAGATGACACTAGTTAAATCGTTGGCCGGTGATGAAGGTTGGTGCACTGGATGGTTAATCAACGTCTCAGATTGATGCTCATGAACTTTTGATTATTGCAGTGTGAATTTCTAAAATAATTGACATTTTTAATTAAAAAGAATAAAATATACATGTGTCCAATTTTTATTTGTGGAACTCCAGGTCAGCATATATTCTAGGTACATGAAAAAATTTATCCCTTTCAAGACTATAATCATCACAGATTTTGATTTTGAAAATTTGCAAAAATAAAAAATTTTGCTTAATGCTCATAGAAAATATTTTGCGAAAATAAAAAATTTACATTTTTAACAAAAAAACGTAGGTTAACACTCATTGTTTTTAGTCGATTTTTACAAATTCATACATAAATCGTTATTCAAACTATTTATTTTCACCTTTGCCCCACTATGAAGTTTGAAAAATAAAGTAATACTTTCTGTTAATATTTTGGAGGGAGGAACCTAATTTTAACTATGTTTTAGGCCTCACTACTATATTTTTCACTTATTTTTTTAGTTTTTGCCTTAAATAGTCTACTAAATATCCATTTGTTACTCAATAAATCGTAATTCCGCTGAAAACTACCTTATAAAATTTTCCTTAATGCTCACGGAAAATATTTCACAAAAATAAAATATTTGCATCTTTTTACAAAAATTGTGGGTGACACATAGTTTTTAGTCGATTTTTACAAATTCGTACATAAATCGTCGTTAAAACTATTTATTTTCACCTTCACCTAATAGTGAAGTTTGAAAATTATAGTAGTACTTCTTGAGGGTGGAACCCCATTTTAACAATGTTTTAGGACTCGCTACTATATTTTTCACTTATTTTTTTAGTTTTTGACTTAAATAGTCTACTAAATATCCATTTGTTGCTCAATAAATTGTAAATGCTTTCAAATGCCTTATAAAATTTTCCTTAATGCTCCCAGAATTTTTTCGAGAAAATAAAAAATTTGCATTTTTGACAAAAAACATGTGTTAACATTAATTGTTTTTGGTCAGTTTTTACAAATTCATACATAAATCGTCATTCAAACTATTTATTTTTACATTCACCTCACCATGATGTTTAAAAATTATAGTAGTTCTTTTTGTTGTATTCTTGAGGGTGGAACCCAATTTTAACAATGTTGTGGGCCTCACAACTATATTTTTCACTTATTTTTTCAGTTTTCGAAACAAATAATCTACTAAATATACATTTGTTGCTCAATAAATCGTAAATCCGCTTCCAAATGCCTTACAAATTTTCCTTAATGCTCATGGAAAACGTTTCGCGAAAATAAAAAATTTTCCTTTTTGACAAAAAACATGGGTGTTACACTCAAGGTTTTTTGTCGGTTTTTACAAATTCGTACATAAATCGTTGTTCAAACTATTTATTTTCATCTTCGCCTCACCGTTAAGTTTGAAAATTAAATTAATAATTTCTGTTAACATTCTAGAGGGTGGAACCTTATTTTAACAATGTTTTGGGCCTCACAACTATATTTTTCACTTATTTTTTAAGTTTTTGACTTAAATACTCTACTAAATATACATTTGTTGCTCAATAAATTGTAAATCCGCTTCCAAATGCCTTATAGAATTTTCCTTAATGCTCACAGAAAATATTTAGCGAAAATAAAAAATTTTCATTTTTAACAAAAAACATGGGTAAACACTGATTGGTTTTAGTCAGTTTTTACAAATTCGTACATAAATCGTCGTACAAACTATTTATTTTTACCTTCACCTCACCGTGAAGTTTGAAAATTATAGTAATACTTTACATTATATTCTTGTGGGTGGAATGCAATTTTAACAATGTTTTGGGCCTCACTACTATATTTCCTTTATTTTTTTTGTTTTCGATTTAAATAGTCTACTAAATATACATTTGTTGCTCAATAAATCGTATATCCGCTTCCAAATGCCTTATAAATTTTGCTTAATGCTCGCAAAAAATATTTCGCGAAAATAAAATGTGACATCCCACATCGCCCAGGGAAGTGATCCTTAAATGTATATTCCCATCCCTACCTAGCACGAGGCCTTTTGGGAGCTCACTGGCTTCGGGTTCCATGGGAACTCCGAAGTTAAGCGAGTAGCGCGCGAGAGCACTCCCAGGATGGGTGACCCATCGGGAAGTTCTCGTGTGAGTTCCCAGAAACAAAACCGTGAGGGCGTGGTCGGGGCCCAAAGCGGACAATATCGTGCTACGGTGGTGGATCGGGCCCGGGTTGTGGTGGGGGCCCGGGCCGGGATGTGACAATTTGGTATCAGAGCCTAACCCTGGCCGCGTGTGTGCCGACGAGGACGTCGGACCCCTAAGGGGGGTGGATTGTGACATCCCACATTGCCCAGGGAAGTGATCCTTAAATGTATATTCCCATCCCTACCTAGGACGAGGCCTTTTGGGAGCTCACTGGCTTCGGGTTCCATAGGAACTCCGAAGTTAAGCGAGTAGCGCGCAAGAGCACTTCCAGGATGGGTGACCCATCGGGAAGTTCTCGTGTGAGTTCCCAGAAACAAAATCGTGAGGGCGTGGTCGGGGCCCAAAGCGGACAATATCGTGCTACGGTGGTGGAGCGGGCCCGGGAAGTGGTGCCGCCCGGGCCGGGATGTGACATAAAAAATTTGCATTCTTGACAAAAAACGTGGGTTAACATTGACGGTTTTTAGTCGGTTTTTACAAATTTGTATATAAATTGCCATTCGAACTATTTATTTTCACCTTCACCTCATCGTGAAATTTGAAAATTAAATTAATACTTTTCGTTAATATTCTTGAGGGTGGAACCGTATTTTAACAATGTTTTCGACCACTACTATAATTTTCACTTATTTTTTTAGTTTTCGACATAAATACTCTACTAATATACATTTGTTGCCCAATAAATCGTAAATCCGCTTCCAAATGCCTTATAAAATTTTCCTTAATTGTCATTGAAAATATTTTGCGAAAATAAAAATATATTGCAATTTTGACAAAAAACGGTTTTTGTCACATCCCCGTCTGGGGGGGGGGGGGTGGGGGGACCATTTCCCGAGCCTGCTCCACCACCATAGCACGATATTGTCCGCTTTAGGCCCCGACCACGCCCTCACATTTTTGTTTCTAGGAACTCACACAAGAACTTCCCAATCAGTCACCCATCCTGGGAGTGTTCTCGCGCGCTAGTCGCTTAACTTCGGAGTTCCCATGGAATCCGAAGCTAGTGAGCTCCTAAAAGGCCTCGTGCTAGGTAAGGATGGGAATATACATATAAGGATCACTCCCCTGGGCGATGTGGGATGTCACAGTTTTTAGTTAGTTTCTACAACTTCATACATAAATCGTTGTTAATTTTTCACCTTCACCTCACCATGAAGTTTGAAGATTATAGTAATACTTTTTGTTATATTCTTGAGGGTGGAACGCCATTTTAACAATGTTTTGGGCCTCCCTACTATATTTTTTACTTATTTTTTTAGTTTTCAACTTAAATAGTCTACTAAATATACATATGTTGCTCAATAAATCGTAAACTTGCTTCCAAATAAATAAATGAAATAGAAAAGGATATTATCAGTACTACCCTACCGATTGTCCATATTAACTGTCGCTAACGTGTTAGCAATAGTACGGAGCAGGAATCGCTACATTCCTACCGAACCCCGCTTTTCAGTTTTTTCTTTTTATTTTTTTAGTTTTTGTTTGTTGCTTATGTTTGTTTCAGTTCCCTTACCATAACAATAAACTATCAAACTCATATTCTTCAAAATATATTTTTTCATGCAAAATCTATTATCGTACATATTTAAACACTTGTAGTCAACGATTTAAAATCTAAATTTAAAGATATTTGAATTTAATAGTGGTTACTCAGATAAAGTAATGTACGAAGAAAAAAGTCAAAGGAATAAACAAAAAAGCAGAAAATAAATAAGAAAAATGGAATTGGGAAAGATCGGTACCACGCTACTGATCCTTGCCCAGTCGTATTTAAATCATCGTTTAATCTATTTATTTTCACCTTTGCCTCACCGTGAAGTTTTGAAAATTAAGATAAGACTTTCCATTAAGATAGGGTTTAGTTTTTAGTCCATTTTGCAAATTCGTACATAAATCGTCGCCCAACCTATTCATTTTCACCTTCGCCTCATTGTGAAGTTTTGAAAATTAAGGTTAGACATTCCATTGATATTCTTGAGGGTAGAACCCTATTTTTGGGTCTCACTACTATATTTTTCACTTTTTTTTTTTTTTTTTAGTTTTTAGCTTAAATATTCTACTAGATATACATTTGTTGCTCAATACATCATAAATCCACTTCCACATGCCTTACAAAGTTTTCCATTATGCTCATGGAAAATGTTTCGCGAAAATAAAAAATTTGCATTTTTGACAGAAAATGTGGGTTCACACTCACGTTTTTAGTCCATTTTGCAAATTCGTACATAAATCGTCGTCCAACCTATTCATTTTCACCTTCGC